AGCCAGTGCTCTGAATCGCTGAGCCATCTCATCTCTCCAGCCCTTCCTTCAATGATTTTTAATCTGAACCTTTGTTTTCTTTCTGCTGGAACTCCTTTAACATGCATACTGGTATAGTTCAAATATATTGGCATCAAAAGCTCTATTTACCTTTTTCTGTTCTTTACAGATAATTTCTGCAGCTCTTTATTTAAACTTAATTTTTTCTTTTGTTAGCTTAGTCTGCTGTTGGGTCCATGTAGTCAGTTTTTTTTTTTTTCCACTTCAGTTGCTAAACTTCATGATTCATTTGAATTTCTTTTTAATATTTTTTCTTATTTTACATATTGATCCCAGTTCTCTCTCCCTCTCATCCTATGCCCTCCACACACCCCCTCTCACCCATTCCCCAGGGAGGGTGAGGCCTTCCATGAAGGATCATCAAAATCTGTCAAGTTATTTGTGGTAGGGCCTAGGTCCTCCCCCATGTCTCTAGGCTAAGGAATATCCCTCCATGGGCAATGGGCTCCTGAAGTCCATGCACTAGTGATAGATCCTGGTTCCATTGCCAGAGGTTCCATAGACTGCCCAGGCCTCCTGACTGAAACCCACATTCAGAGGGTCTGGTTTCCCAGCTATCAGTCTGGGGTCCATGAGCTCCCCCTTGTTCAGGTCAGCTGTTTCTGTGGGTTTCTACAGCCCGTTCTGGACCCCTTTGCTCATCACTCCTCCCTCTATACAACTGGATTCCAGGAGTTTGGCTCATTGTTTAGCTGTGGATGTCTGCTTCTGCTTCCATCAGCTGCTGGGTGAAGGCTCTATGATGGCACTTAAAGTAGTCATCAATCTCATTACTGGGGAAGGACATCTAAGGTAGCCTCTCCCTATTGCTTAGATTGTTAGCTGGGGTCATCTTTGTAGATCTCTGGGCATTTCCCTATGCCATATTTCTCTTTAAACCTATAATGGCTTCCTCTGTTATGGATTCTCTTTTCTTGCTCTCCTCTATTCTTCCCCCTACTCAATCTTCCTGCTCCCTCATGTTCTCCTCTCCCCTCCTCTTTTCCCCTTCTCTTTCTTCTAACTCCCTCTCCCCTCACCCCCTGCTCCCAATTAGCTCAGGAGATCTGGTCCCTTTCCCCTTCTGTGGGAGACCATGTATGTCTCTCTTAGGTTCCTCCTTGTTTTCTAGCTTCTCTGGCAGTGTGAATGTAGGCTGGTAATCCTTTGCTCTATGTCTGAAATCCATATGTGAGTATATACTATGTTCATTTTTTTGTGACTGGGTTACTGATGGGAGATGTCATTCTGTAAATATGTTTCTCTTATTGGTTAATGAATAAAGCATTGTTGGCAAATAGGAAGGCAAGATTGATGGGAGTAAGAGATGTAGTAAAGAGGAGTCAAGATCTAGGATGTGAGAGGAGAAAGGGGTCTGGACCCTCTCTCTGGTAAGATAAGACCACATGGAAACATTTAGATTAATAGAAATGGGTTGATATTTAAGACAGAGATAGCCTATAAGAAACACTAGTAACAGGCCAATAGCTTTATATCTAATATAGTGTCTCTATGTGTTATTTGGGGCTGATGCAGCTGTGGGACCAGGCTGGTGGGAAACTGCTCGTAAAAGGTTACTTCACTCAAGATGGTTTCTTCACGTTCCATCCATTTGCCTGCGAATTTCAAGATTCCATTTTTTCCCAATGAGTAGTACTCCATTATGTAAATGTACCACATTTTCTCTATACATTTTTCAGTTGAGGGGCATCTAGGTTGCTTCCAGGTTCTTCCTATTACAAATAATGAACACAGTTGAACAGATGTCTTTGTTGCATGAATGTGCATCTTTTGGGTATATGCCTAAGAGTGGAATTGCTAGATCTTGTGGTAGACTGATACCATTTTCCTGAGAAACCATGATACTGATTTACAAAGTGGCTGTACGAGTTTGTACTCCCACCACATCCTCTCCAGCATAAGTTATCATTGGTGTTTTTGATTTTCCATTCTGACACAAGTAAGATGGTATCTCAGAGTTGTTTTGATTTGCATTTCCCTGATGGCTAAGGATGTTGAACACTTTCTTAAGTGTCTTGCAGCCGTTTTAGATTCCTCTTTTGAGAACTCTCTATTTAGTTCTGTAGTACACTTTTTAATTGGACCTGAACTTGGTCCTCTACAGGAGCAGCAAATGTTCTCCAGTCCATGCACTATTTATTTAAACAAAAATTTGAGTGGTAAGAAATGTACATACATGTGTATGGAGGCCAGAGGTTGACAATGGGAATTATTCTCAGTTGCTTTTAATCTTTTCCTCACCTTTTCAAACAGACTAAAGTGAACCTGAAGCTAATTCTGCTAGACTGATTGGCAAGCAAGCCCAAGATTTCTTCTTTCTCTGCTTCCCCAGGCTTGGGATTACAAGTATTTGCCCCCCATGCCCAGTTTTTTTATGTGGGTGCTAGATCCAAACTTAGGCCTCATGTTTGCACACGTACTTCACCTACTAAGCACCCCAACCCAGTTTATTATATACCATGGGGAGTCCTGGGTATTGGATTCAGGTTGGCAGCCTCAATGTCAAGTGTTCTTTTTTTTTTTTTTTTTTTTTTCTGAACCACCTCTTTGGATCATTATATTAGTGTGTGTGTAGGCATATATGTGTCATTGTGAAAAATAAGAAAACATATGGAAATCAGTCCTTTCCTATCATGTGGGTCCTGAAGATGGCACTAAGGTGGCAGGTATGGCAGTAAGTTCCTTTCCTTTCCTTACAAAGACAACCTGGGAGCTCCATTATGACATTTTCATACTTTATTATCTCATATTTTTAAAACCACAAATATTTGTTTACTTGTTAAGTTTTCCTCTCTCTGAATAGTTTTTTTTTTAAAATAAGTTATTTGTTTTTATTTTATTTGCATGTACATCTGTGTGTCAGATCTTGGAGTTATAGACAGTTGTGAGCTGTCACGTGTCTACTCGGAATTGAACCTGGGTCCTCTGCAAGAGCAGTCAGTGCTCTTAACCACTGATCCATCTCTCTAGCGTTCCTCTCTCTGTATAGTGAACTTATTCCAAGTTACTTTTGTTTATATGAATCTCTATTACTCATGTGAGAAGATTTCTTCACTTATCTGGAGAGCTTTAGCTTAGTATTTATAATTAAACACTGAAAAGCTATTGGGAAAAATCAACTGTATCCTTATATAAATTTATAGGAGTAGAATAAAAATTGGGAAACTACAAAGATAAATATAGCATTTATATTTTTGAGATATGGTCTTAGTATGTAGACCAGGCTAGTCTCAAACTTTTAATAATAGTTTTCTCTCTACCGGGGATTATAAGTGGCACTATCACACCTGGCCCTATCATATTTAAAAGTGTGATAAAAGAGGGCTAGAGAGATGGATCATCAGCTTAGAGCACTGGTTGCTCTTTCAGAGGACCTGAGTTCACTTCCTAGCACCCACATGGTAGCTTATAACTATAACTCCAGTTCCAGGGAATACCATGTCCTCTTTTGACCTCTGCAGGCACCAGATATGCACATGGCGCACATACATACATGCGGTCAAAATAACCTATATACATAAAATAAAATGAACCTTTTTCTAGATTTATGTCATATATAAAGATCAAACCCAGAATTCAAAAACCTAAAAATAAAAAGTACAAGTATGAAAATTATATCAGGTCAGGAAATATGGTTCAGGTTCAAGGTTCATATCTCAAAGGCCTATGCCACCACTGCCCAGCTCTTGTGATACATTCAAAACAACATCATCTTAAGAGTACCATTTTAATTCTGGTTTAGATGAGATTTAAAAAACAATGAACACTAACCAAAGAGTTTAATACCCAAAGATAACTTTGGTTATAGTAAGAAAAACAGAAAGCTTTACCAACCAAAAAAATATGAGAACAATAACAAAAAAAAAAAAAAAAAAAAAAAAAAAAAAAAAAAAAGATTTTGTTTGTACCAGGGTTTCTCTGCATAATCCTGGCAGTCCTGGAGCTCACTCTGTAGCCCATACTGGCTTCAGAGGTCTGATGGGACTATAGGCAGGCACTACCATCTCTCCTAACCCTTAATAGATTTTTTTTTAAAAAAAAAAACTACTATTTTCTTGTCCTTGACTGTTATACCTTTTGTTTTGTTATGGTTTTTTGAGACAGTTTCTCAATGTAGCCCTGACTGTCCTGGGATGATAGAGTTCTAGGATGGCTGGGCTATAGTTCATAGTCAGACCCTATTTCAAAAACAATTTAAAAAGAAAAGAAAAACTTAGACTTAACTAAAACGATCTTTTAAAAAAAATACCTATTTTTTGCTAGTTATATTTTTCTAATATTAATTAAAACAAATAATTACATGGAAATAAAGATAAAGAAATAATAAATTACATAATAAAGAAATAAAAAGGCTTTGATCCCAGCACTCAGGAGGCAGAAGATCTCGAGTTCAAAGCCAACCTGGTCTACACAGGGAACTCCAGGACAACCAGAAACAACATAGTGAGACGCTGTCTTGCAAAAGCCTATTTGCCCATGGAATGCAAGTTATCTCATGAATTATCCAGTCAGTAGTCTTATACTTAGGAAAGCAGTTATCTTACTTTCATAAAATACCTTTTGGCAATCTGAAATATGTTTTTCTAGAAATGTAACTGGAATTATCTCTAGTCATTTCCTTAGTAAGAATATAATTTTCTTCTTGTGTCTAATTGTCGTTTATTACATCTTGTTTTGGAAATGGAAAAAATACTTTAAAAATAATAATGAAGGGCTGGAGAAACACCTTAGTGGGTAAAACTATCTGCTGTCAAGCCTGAGAACTTGAATGGGAAGTACACTGTGGAGAGAACTGACCCCTACATGCTGTCCTGACCTCTACATGTGCATACCACCCCTGGTGTACACACACAATATAAAGCTATAAGCCAACATCATTTTGAAAGCCCTGGATAGGTATGGAAAGCAGAAGAACCTTGACAAAAATCAAGACCAAGACCTTTAGCATAAATAAAGGCTTTATTGATCAGTTTGACGAATGATAGACTGGCATAAACTCAATTAATTGTTTCACACACTCAAGACCCTTAGGATGACACAAAAAGCTAAGCTTATTGGCAATGGGCAACAGGAAGGGAGTGGAAACGACTTGAAGGTTTCTGAAGGTTTACAAAGCTACCGGGATCGAAACCAACGTCCTAGAAGCAAATCCAGGAGGGAAAAGGGGTCATCCAGAGCTGAAGATCTTTCCGAGACTGGATCTAAGGAAGAAAGTCAAACACTGACAACTGAACAAGACAGGGAAATATCAATAGGTAGGCATATCCGTCTCCAAGGAGGCAGAGGTGGCTCTCTGAGTTACTCCTGACTCACCATTTCTGGAACTTTCATGTGCTTCCTGATGGGTCACTGTGGTCTCTCTCCGTCCCTCACTGTCCACCACAGTGCGGTGCTCCTCCACTACCTGCAAGGAGAAGTTTTCTTACACAAGCCCCTCTTTCCAGAGCATTCTCTGGCCAGTTTAACTCTTCTCTCTTAACTTACCCCGTCTGGCTTAGTGATCTTGGTCACAGAGATGCTCTTGAAGTAGGGTTTGGGTTGGGGTTGAAGAAGTGGACCGAGACCTTCCTGGGAAACCTGGGAGTCAAGATCTGGAATGGCAGAGAGAAAAAAGCCAGAAGAGAGTGGAAGGAAGAAAATAGGACAAGTGTGTGAGGAAGAAACTTCTGAGAGAACTTTAGAGAATGACATGGTAAATGTGCCCTCCCTCTACACTCACCATTGTCCTCTCTGGCTCTAGAATGGGGAGTCACAGGCCATATATCATCCAACTGTAGAAGAAGCCACACATAGTTGGTAAAAAGACACCTTCCAATCTGAAACATGTAGGGTCAGAGACCCCAGACTCCTCCTCCTAAGTTCCAAAGCCCTGAAATACTTCCATTTGGGCAGCTTATGTTCAGACCTTCTGTAGACTCATATGGACTTCTACCAAATAGGCTTCCTAAAATACTTTCCTTCATCTTCAATATTGGTTTTTTCAAGACAGGGTTTCTCACCCTGGAACTCACTCTATAAACCAGGCTGGCCTCAAACTGACAGAGACCTGCTTACCTCTGCCTCCCTAGTGCTAGGATTGAAGGTGTATACCACCATGCCCTGCTCAAGATCCTTTCTTCCTTTTTTTTTTTTTCTTTTTTTTTTTTTTTTCTTTTTTCTTGGTGTGTGTGTGTTTGAGGCAGAATTTTTCTATGTAGACTAGGTTGGCCTTTAGCTCACAGAAATAAGCTTGCTTCTGCCTCAGGAGTGCTGGGATTAAAGGTGGGCAACACCTTGCCCAGCCCCAAGGCCCCTTTTTTGTTTGTTTTTTTGAGACAGGGTTTCTCTGTGTTGTTATGAGTAGTTTTTTCTGCTGGTCTGTTCCCTCTGTCGCCTTGCCAGCCCCAAATAACATGCAGAGACGCCATATTAGTTTCTTATCGGCTGGTTCTGTCTTTAATATTAACCCATTTCTATTAATCTAAGTATTTCCTCATGGTCATATCTTACCAAAGAGAGGGGCTGGCGTCTTAGAACTACTTCCTCTCTCCTGTCTCCTAGTCCCATCTATCTTGCTTTCCTATTGGCCAACAGTGCTTTATTCATTAACCCATAAGAGAAAAATATATATAGAATGACATCTCCCATTACTGTGTAGACCAGGCTGGCTTCAACTCACAGAGATCTGCCTGCCTCTGCCTCCCAAGTGCTGGGACTAAAGTTGTGCGCTGCTGCCACCGCCACCACCGCCGCCGCCGCCGCCGCCGCCGCCGCCGCCGCCGCCACCACCACCGGCCCTCAAGATCCTTTCTTAATCAAAAATTGAAACTAGCTGGGCGGTGGTGGCACATGCCTTTAATCCCAGCAGTCGGGATGCAGAGACAGGCAGATCTCTGAGTCTGAGGACATCTGAGGTCTACAGAGCTAGTTCTAGGACAGGCACAAAAGCCACAGAGGAACCCTGTCTCAAAAAAGAAAAAAGAAGTAGATTATTCCCATTTCCCTTTTGTACTCTATGCTCCTGTACTGCATGAGGTCACATGTGGCACAAAGACATGAAAGCTGGCAAAACACTCCCTCATAAAAAAGGAAATAAATAAACCTTAGGCTAGGTGTGCTGCCACATTTTATCCCTGAAGCAGAGACAGGCAGATCTCTAAATCCGAGGCCAGTCTGGTCTACATAGTGGATTCCAAGTCTCAAAACAAAAAGTCCAACAAGGAAAATCTAGACAACTGCACTAATTACAGGAGCTAGAATTCCAACTCAACTCTAAGAAATTCCAGGAAGGATTCTAGTCACTGCACTTTGGGTGCAGAGTACTCACCCGATGGAAAGGTCCTTGAGACCTCCAATCTGGAGCTGATTTGGAGGCTTCAGGTCTTGCAGGACTTTCCAAGACCCCCTCAAAGATCCTGGGTTGGTGGCTGTCTGGGTACTTAAGCATTGAGTCCCGCAATGTCTGCCCTTCCCGCAGTCTCTCACTAGGTGTTTCTGACTCAGGACCTGGAAGTTCTGTAAAAAGTTGGCAGGTTATACTGATATAGGGAAGGGCTTGAGACACATTAAATCTTTTTGAAATCAGCTTTTGCATACTATCCATCCCCAACTAATCTGCAAGGTCCATATTTCGTCCACTAACCCAATATTCTCCCTCAGGGAAATTTACATACCAGGAGAGTGGGAAGGCAATGTCCAGGCCCCCATTTCGCTGAAGATGCTATTGAAATCTCGTACTAGATCATCAAAGCCAAAGTTGTCGTGGAATCGCATCCCTCCTTCTGGGCTGAAGCTGAAACCGAATTCCTCCGGAGGCTGAAAACCATCAAACCTATAGCTCCCTCGGCCCCATGTGCCTCTGTCTTCCTCCTCTTCGTCGTCATCATCATCGTCATCATCTCGAGTCATCCCTCCAAAAAAGGGATCTCTGTGGCTGAGGGTGGAGGCAGATAAGCCACCAAGATTTCAGCACTGTCTAAGCAATAAAATCAACCCAAGGCCAGTAAAATGGGACAAAAGGCAGGGGTCTAAGCAGCTGAAGAAAACTGGAGGGCTGACTTCCAAGCCAAAACAAAGCTCCTGGCTCTATTAGGATTTTGTATTGTTTCTAATTAGAGCCCACAACCTCCCGACACCTTCCAACGCCTCCCCTGCCTTTTCTTCAGTGTCTCACTGCCCACTCCTAATTGCCCCGTTAAGGTCCTGCTCACTTGTTCATTGTCCTCTTCCCCAGACCCCCATTGTCTCTCCGCCCAGGTCCCTGTTGCATCACCCCACTCTGGAGAAAGGTACTGTTTCTCTCTTCACACAGCTTTGGTTACTGTGGCGGGGTGAGCACTCAAAGTTGAGATTCCTATCCTCTCAGCAGGAGTTGAAGGGGGCGGGGGAGAAAGCTTTCCAAAAATACGGTGAAGGGATCAAGCGTCCCCAAAGAACACAGCTTCCTCATGTTCAGCACAGAACTACGCTCACCTCCGAGGTCCACGAAAGCCGAAAAAGCCCCGGAAAAGGTCAAAGAAGCTCATTCCCGTAGATGCCCTAGAAACTTTAAACTTCTGCAGGACATGAGGACCAGTGGACCTTCAGCTTGTGCTACCCTGTCAGATATAGCCAGGGTTCAGCATTCGCTGCCGGAAAGCAAGTGTGCAGCGCGGCATTGTCGTAAAAAGGCTGTAACCCGGAGGAGGAAGGAAGAGGCGGGGTTGACGGCGCTCCTCGGACGCGAAGCTTATAAGCTACCTTTCAGTTTTGAGTGAGGGTAGGCTTCCAGAATCCTAGTGTCCAAGATCACACCCCTTCTAGGTGATTCTCTTTCCCGCCCATTTGCCAGTCCCCAACGGGTGTTTCCGTTACTCTCTGGATGGTTCCAAGTAAGCCGCCAGAGGGAGCGGCCTATCCCGAGCCCTGCCTCGACCCGGGCTCAGAAAAAGCCCCCACTCTTTGTGTTTGTTTCTAGACAGATGTGACGTCCCACACACTACAGGTTGAGTAGTGTTTTACTAAGCTCCTTACAGGGCGGATTCCTTACTGCTGAATAAAGACAGAAGATGCTAGGAGTCTCCTCAGCTATTAGGGAGTTAGTTCTGGCCATAAAAATTCTTTTAAACGTGTTTATTCGACACACGGTTTGTGCAGCCAAGGCTGTCCTGGAACTCTATAGACCAGGCATGTCTCAAACACAGAGATCTGCCTCTGCGACCGTTGTTGCCACCACACCTAGCTGCTCTTTTAAACTTTTAAAACAACTACTACCAACAAGGTAAGATTTATACTAGGCAGGGAAGAGAAACTACAGAAACGTCCTGGAAAGGAACAAAGACGGTGTAGTTACGAGATTCGGTAGTGTAGGCCTTTAATCTCTACGCTCCAGAGGCAGAGACTGATGGACCTGTATGAGGCCAGTCTACACAATGAGTTCCATGCCAGCATGAGCTACTTGAGACCTTGACACACCCTCCCCACCCAAGCCATACTTGCAGTTTGGGAAGTCTGAAGCCGAATTTCTTGAATCCTTGGCAATACGGTAAGTCTCAGGCTCTTCAAAAGAAAAACAAAATTCCCTTCCCAAGCAATTTAGGTTGAAAACTTTTTTTTTTTTTTTTTAACCACAACACGCCTCACCCCAGGTCTTGCTTAACATTATCCACCCCTTTCCCAGAAATCGGGCATTTCTAAGGCCACATAAAGTAGGCAAGGCAGGGTATGGTGTTGAGAACCTTTAACATCCGCACCCAAGAGGCAGAGGCAGGCAGACCTCTGAATTTATGACCAGCTTGGTCTCCATACCAAGTTACAGGCCACCCAGGGTCATAAAATAAGACTGTCTCAAAAACAAAACTCAGACAACAAAAACTACTGTAGGGTACTTCTATAAAGGGAAATGTTCTTGAGCTTTAGTTCTGCCAGCCAACAGTTAGCTTCAGACTTCAAAAATCCCTTAAATCGTGCTTATATTCCCAGTTCTTTTTCTTTTAACTATCTGTACTCCTTCCCCCTTCACTTCCCGAAACGATGTAGATTAGGCAGTTTCTAGAAGAAATGTTTTGTAGTGGTTCTTTCCAGTCAGGGGTTGTGAAAGGGAATCCCCTTAAGGGCAAAATATTAGCACATTAAGGTGAGAGTTCTTAAAGGGCAAAGATTTCACTTTATTCCACAGCCTTCGAGCCTGCTAGAAGAGGCCCAGTTGGTACGGTAATACTTATTCACCAAGCTGGTCATCGACGAGAGTGAGGATATCCTAGACGGAGCAAGAATGGGCAGAGGCTGAAGGTAGAGGTTTGGTTTTTTTTTCACCTTTTTTTTTTTTTTACATATATATATGTATATATATATACAAGACACAATCCATTAAATTTGAGGACACAGTACAAAAAAAAAACCACTTCAACTAATTCATATGACAATGCTGTTCATATTTATGACGCCATTTTTTTGTGTGTGTTGTTTGGTTTTCCTAATAATAAAGGAGGAGACTTAGGGCTGTCGGGCTGATATATATTTGGGGGTGGGGTTCACCTCCCCACCTCACCCATACACCACCAGGGTGAACAGGAAGAAGTGAAGGAAAGGCAGGGCCCACAGCAAAGTTTCATAATCTTGAATGCAAAGAGGAAAAGGGGGCAGGGAGAAAATACAAATCCTATAATACATACAACAGGGTGGGATGGTATAGGAATGGGACAGACATGAAGCTGAGGTGTGGGATGGGCCGCTGGGGGTGTGGAGCAGCGGAATCGCCCCACATTCTTTTCTCTCTTTGATGCTGTTTCCATAGTTTCCAGGCTGAGAAGCCCTCTCAGAAGATGGGACCGGGAGAAGAGGGTCAGGGCCTCAGTTGGCCCCCCAGCTGTAGCTGTTGTAGGCAGACTTGTTGGTCTGGGGCTTCTGCGGGATGGAGCTGGTCTGGCTACGTTGCCCGCTGCCCGTCTGCAGGGGAATGGGAGGGTTATGGGGGAGGAAAAAGGTGTCTAGTTAGTGGGACCAATCTGTAACATCTTCAAGTGGAAATGTGTAAAATAGTTAATGCTCTCTCATTTCCTTTACTTAGAATCTACTATGAAGTTTACTTTTCAAGCACAGAAAATTCAGTCTACATAGCCTCTTTTACAAGGCAGCATTTTTTTTTAACCTTAAAATAGAGAAAAATGAAAAGTGGACAAGAAAACTTTGGATATAAGATGGTGAGTTGATTCTATTCCTGTTCAGTTGTCTTCCCCACTACCCACTGCCCTGATCTTAAAGAAAAAAAAAGAAGAAGGAAAAAAGGCAACTATGAGGATTCTGGCCTTTTTGAAGTGAGTGATCACAAGATGTTTACATTCTCACTCACCTCAGAGAATGCCTCAATATGGAAAGCTATCTTTGAGAGCAAGTAGCCCAGCCACCTATGTTGCAGCTCTTAAGTGGTCTCATTTTTACCACCCTTCAGATCCACCCACCACCACATATTAATTAATGTGAAACCAATTCAAACAAAGTAGGAAAGATCTGAGGCATCAGGCTCCAGATGCTTCCCCAAGAATCTTTTCCATTGTGGTAACCAAGTGTTCAGAGTAGGGGAAGGGTAGAAAGATAAAGAGGGTGTTGAAGGGGGAAGGAAGAGACAGGATGGGGAGGCCAGAGAGTTTAGCATAGTGTTTCTGTTTGTGTATCCCGATTTGTGATTGGGTAGGCTTCTCAAGTTATATGAGGCTGTGGAGGTAAAATGGGGACTAAAAAGAAGTTGGTTTAAGCATATTATCATTCAGTTTCATTACCTGCTCCTCCTGCTGGCGCTGGCAACAGAGAATCATCTGCAAATATGGTAGCTGAGGCAGAACCAGGATATATGGAAAATAAAGGGACAAACTTTTGACAATAGAACTCCACTGTTAGAAGGGAAAGCTATAATGTCAGGGAAGGGAGAAGGCTGGGAGAGGTTAAAAGGGAAGGTGTGACCCAGGTCTGACAGGATGAGGACAACTGTGCCACGGGAGGTGAGGAGAAAGGTACCAAAGGAACTGGGCAAAAGGGTTTCAATCTGGCCCATTCTCTCATGTTTCCTTTGCCAACTGCTCATGTTATGTGCGCTTGTGTCTGTATGTGCTGTGTGACCCTGGCTGGCACTGGTGAGGGCTGGGTGAAGGTGGTGGGAAGGAAGGTTAAGAAAAGGAAAAGGGAAGGCAGTTTTAAGGGATAGGAAGGAAGAGGAAGGGAAAGGAGAGAGGGGGGAAGGGCTATTACCTGGCCATCCTGCTGCAGGTGATGGTGAAGGATCTGAGAATGTGGCTGCTGATGGGGGGTCAGAATATGCATAAAGGGGGCAGGTGGGTAGGCAGCAGCTGTGGCTGGATTGATGGGCCCTCCACTTCCTAGGGCTGAAGGCAAGTTGAAGGAGGCAGCAGGAGTACCGGAATGGAACCCTTGTTTCTCAAAGGACTGCTATCCCAGGAAAACAGGAGGAAAGAGTAAAAGGATCATCAGAAGATCTTAGGACTCTCTGAGCCCAAATACCCCTATCCTCAGAAAGCAGCATGATCAGAAACAATGTCACACATCTCAAGTCAAACATTCAAAAGTCTTAGTTCCTAGCTCTGCCTTTTCACAGCTCCATAATCCTAGGCAAATTAACCACTCAGCCTCAGTTTTCCTCATAAATTAAAGAGTAAGGCTGGTGGTGGTGCACGCCTTTAATCCCAGCACTCAGGAGGTAGAAGCAGGAGGATCTCTGTCAGTTTGAGGTAAGCCTGGTTTACAAAGGGAGTTCCAGGACAGTCAAGATTACATAACTAAACCCTGTCTCAAAAGACCAAACTAAACTAAACCAAAACAAAAAGATACTGCTGACTTCTTGTTAAAAGCATCAAGCAGGAAGATGACTGTCAAAGGACCCCATAAAAATCTTATTTGGTCAAGCATGATGGTACACACTTTTAATCCCAATCACTTGGGAAGCAGGTAGATTCTCTGAAATTTGAGACTAGCCTAGTCTACAAAGTGAGTTCCAGTTCAGCCAGGAATACATAATGAAACGCTTCCTCAAAATAAATAAAATAAAAAATTGTATATTTCATGTGACTACAGGGAAATTTGCTCACTAGTCTGGGCATTCCTGCCTCTGTTGTTTCAGAACAAATGAATAAACAAAATGAGATATTTTGTGTTTGGGAGGTGCTAGGACATAAAAATGACAACAGACATACCTATAGATAACTCAGTAACAAATAGCTCACTTCATTTCCACTCTTGGTTATAGACTTACAAGAAATGAAACTAATTAGTTTCCATTTCCATATTTAGTCTCTTGCAAAGTTATGAAAATGGAAGTAAGTGGGTAGGTCAAGGGGCCAAGACCATTGCAAACGACATCACCATACAATTTATGACACTTGACCTTCCTATGACATTTCTCATTTTCTCCTCCCCCCCCCCCCAGAGGGCAAAATTTAGAGTCCTAGAGAAACTGAAGCCTAGAAGAGACAAATCACTTAGAAAAGGTAGCATTGGTCTAATGCCTCCCAAGGGCTGTTCTAACTCCACCTCCATATCCATCTTTCTACTTCCATCCAGATCAGGCACCTACCTGGGTTTTGGAGTACACAGAACCCGAGATATCTGGCACGCCCGTGTTACTGGAGGTGACTGATACACCTAGGGGAGGAGGAAACAGAGAGGATTAGCTGTCTGTTATCAGCCTAGTCTCTGTTCCTAGGTTGTGATGTCTGCAGCCTTTCTAGCTATGGCACTGCAAAGGAATTTTGGTATGTTTTCTTCCACCTTTAAGTCAATTCTGTTGTCAGAATTCATGGCATGAATGCTACCTAAGAGTTCTTTTGCCCTTTCTGTATAGAACTTCTTTTTGAGGGAGCAAGACGATATGAACAAAGTCTCAGTAGCATGATTTCAAAGCAGGATATTATACATTTACTGTCCACTGTGAAGCAGTCTACCCAAACTCCACGAAGTTATGCCTTTTAAGATGTGGGTAATCTGGCTCTTTCGGTTCTACAAGACACTTTGGGGCTCAAAATGCTTAACACCACACTGTTAAGTATTAGAAACAGTCCAATGGAGTCCCCAGAGTGCTTAACTCTCAGAGCCTCTGTTCACTTATCCTCACTTCTCTGATGGAAGGGATTCTAGTCTTATATCTTTGTGACTTAAAGGACTAACACAAGATGAATTTCTAGCTTTATAATTTTAGTGGGGGATAGGGAGGACATAGTAAAGGGTAGTCTTTCAACCTACATGGAACACAAAAGCAATGTCCACAAAATAAGTTAACCCATACCTAACTTGTTTCTTGTTGAAAAGTTCCCTACCACCAGTTTTAGCCTGTAGTAGTATAATCCATTTGTTCTCAAACTAAAATAAACATACGACATTCTTTCTTCCTGAAGGTATTGGTCAATAAATCGGAAGACAAGAAAAGCCATGAGATAATCTAGCGTCTCACTAGAGATTTTAAATAAAAATGTGAAAAATAATTTAATTAGGAATTTAATTCACAATTTATGAAAAAAAAGACATTATTAGTTCCTGTAAAGATAAAAAGGAGACCAGAAAAACTACATGCCTATACTTTTAGATTCTTGCCTCCAGAGGTACATTATTCTTTTATTTCAGGAACATACCGATGGAACTTTGTTTTGCCTTTTTTTTTTTTTTAAAGAATATACTGATAAAAATCACAAGGAATCCTCCATTCACTCACAATTCAACAGCAGTCTCCATACCAATTCTAGAACTCAAATTCACCTAACCAATGACTAAAACAAAGGCAGGCTTTAGGAGTTAAGTTCACAATCTTCCAATAGAATTGGTTGGTTTTCTTTAAGGGGTAAAGATTTAAACAGTGATTAAGTGCTTTTCTAGCCAGCACAAGGACCAGGGTTTGAGCTCTAGCACCAAGGGGGGGGGGGGAAATTAACTGTTAAACCCTACCACATCCCAAGCCCAGAGAGTGCCCTTCGAAAGGAACAAATGCAATTCTAAGGGAGAAAAAGCTGAATCACAGAAACAAAACAAGAAAAAAAACTACTGTCCCATCTCCAAAGTCTTAACTGCATACTTGGAAGGCAGAGTAAACAAAGGGAATACATCAAACTCTTCTGGAGGCAGCAGAGATTTTCCTTTTTTCTCTTTTTAGATTCCAGATGCCTATCTGACAGAACAATGAGTAACAGGCACAACTTTAAGTTCAGTTATGGTTAAAAGGCCTAAAGGTAGTGAGGTCTGATGAGGAAGGGAGATGAACCAGTACACAGAATTATTTTCAAGAAAAAAACCAAAGAGACAATGAGTTATCTTTAATAGGTAAGTGTGTATAGCTTACTTGGTTACCTTCTACAAAGAGAAGTTACAGTATTTACACCGGGTGGGAGAAATTACTAACTGGATCCAAGCTGAGTGGTAAGGAGAAACTTAGTTCTAGCAAGATCCTACCTGATTCTTACATTAGTTCAGGTTTTAATTATATAGAAGATAGAACAAGAAGTGGAAGAAAAAAGAATCCCATATAGTAGTTATAATAGCTTCTATGTAAGTATTAGAAAACCTAAAAAATAGCAAGACTTTGGTTCTCTTCTTTTCACTATTCCAGAGATCCTTATACTAAAGTTTTGCTCTCTTGCCCATCACATATGTCCTGCCTACCCCAACTTCCCAACAGTGATACAAATCATTACAAAACAATGTAGGTGGTAGGTAGACCAAACAAGAACCCATTTCCCTTACTTAGCATGACAGCAGCTTGGAAAATTGGTTAGATTCTATAGAACCAGAGTGGTAGGAACTATACAAGGAAAGCTGAATATCTGGTTTCCAATTAAGCAAGGGTGGTGGGCCAATTGTTTAAATTTATGATATACACCAGTGGCTGATGGTGTTCTGGTTAGTGAGTGCATGGAAATTTTCCACCAGGAGTCTGACCAAACATCTCTCACATATCTTTGGCTACATTCACAAGTAAAAAATTACTAATAATTCACCATCTCTGAGAAGCCATCAAAAGACCATGAACAATGTTCCAGGCTAGCAGTTTCCACAAAGCCCCAGTCACCAACTAAGTGATTACTAATGACCTGATCAGATATTCATCAGCCAGTCAGACTTTGAGAACCGGATGTAGAAATTAAGCCTTGGATAATACTTCCCTAACAACAGCTTTGAACACCATCTCTTTCACCTTTCACCATGATGTGACACTAACTTCTTGCCCTTTCCCCTGAGCCCATGTCAGAGGCAAGGGGATGATCTACATGAAAAAGTAAAGACATAAAAGCATGGGAAATCAGTTTTGTTGTTTTTGTTTATTTATAACTTTACCAACCAATCAATTGGCTGGAAACAGGCTGTTTTACCTCCCCCAACTTAAAAACAACTATACTGAAACACTAACAGCTCTTTGGCTATATTGGGGGATTGACTGAAAAGACCACCCTCCACCCTTTATCCACAATACAGCATTGGCTCCTAGTGTCCAGAAAGACATGCACGGAAAGAACGCAGAGTTAGCTAAAGAAATACCACAGTTTATTGAAGACTACAAATATTTTTGTTACAAGTTGGAACTACATGCCTTCCAGAAATCAAAAGCAACAGCAGGTGTGTGCATTGATGCTTCGGAGGTGCTGCACCGCTCGAACGAAATGGGTAAGACAGGGTCAGACACATGGGGGAGAGGGTAGGGGAGGGGCAAGTTCAAAAGCCCAGAAGGTATCCACCAACTCATTTCCCCAAGCTACGCAGGCCATGGCCTCAGCTCAGCAGGCTCTCCTCAGTGGTCTGGTTTCTGAAACAAGACTTCAGTGCAAATTTATATACACACACAAAATACAGCCCCCAGGCTTGGGCCAAATTAGCTTTCAGCCGTCCAGAAATGCTTGTAAGGGGGTGGATATTTTCTTCCTAAAAGGAATCAAATACATAAAAATAAATGAATTTAGAGGTTGATGAGGAACAGAATGAAAAGAGCCCTCTGTTAGGGGTTGGGAACTGGGGATTCTCAAAAAGCTGCTATTGCAGATTTCTGAAATCTTAAAGTAGGTAAGAAGCTAAGTTTCAAAATCAGATTCCAACTCTCATCAATCACATAGCCTTTAAAATATTTGTAACTGGACCACAAATAATTAAATCTAATAGTAAATTTGGGGAATGAAACCAGTCCAAATAAAAGTTTCTATTTCTCTACTCAAAGATTAGGCTAGGCCTTATACAATGAAAGTAGTATGGGTATTAAATTTCAAAGGTTCCTCAAGATTTTTAAAATGTATATCATGACCCAGTCTTAAAGGTCACAGTTCAAACCTCCATCTGTGTATTAATAACTAAACCTATTTCTTGTCTTCTGAACTCAGTCCTCCAATTACTGAAAAGTTTGGTTATTTACCCATCCAGAGCCCACAGAAGTGTGAACTTGTTGGTTCCTCTAAAGCCCATATAACTGTAATCAGGATGCAAGCTTTTAAAGATAACCCTCAAGTCCAACCCATTAGCAACAACAGCAATTACCTTCCCAGATTCAACTAAAATTCATAAAAAGAAAAAAAAAATTTACACAGAATTGTTCCCAGTTTTCTCCTGGACCAAGGTATAATGGCAAAGATTGCTACAAATTAGAGGCAAGCCTGAGCTACACAGAGAAACCTTGTTTCGAAAACAAGATGTGGTGGCGCACACCTTTAGTCCCAGCAGTCGGGAGGCAGAGGCAGACAAGTGACTGTGGATTCCAGGTCAACCTGGTCTACATATTGAATTCCAGGACAGATAGGGCTACAAAAAGAGACCCTGTTTCAAAAGGACAAAAACAAAAGAAACCAAAATTTAAAACCCTATTTAAAAAAAAAAAAAAAAAAAAAAAAAGGGAAAAGAAAAAAAAGAAACCTTGAAAAAATTTTCTCTTCATCGCCACCCTCCAAAAGTAAAGTATCAATGTTAGAGAAGCAAGGGTTAGGGGTTAGGCTAAATGTGTCCATAAAATCTCTACACTTCCTTCTCTGCCATTAGATATCTGGCAGATCTTTGCAAGACTAGCTATACAAATGAAGAAATCTAAGATTTCAAATCTCACTCTAATTGGTCATGTCTACTCATTTTTTTCTATATATTGTAGGTCTTCTAGCTAGGGAATTAAAAAAAGGGTAATCAAATAACAAAATTGTGCTACAAACAAACTTACGCCAAACCTATCTTATACAGTCTGTCAACTAGGAAAGTGGATCTTCTCTATCAGCATTTTTCCACTCTCAGGCCTCACTACCACTTTCCCTGACATTTGTGACATCTTTGGGCGCCTGCCCTATTTCTCACCAAAACTCAGATTAGCTAACACATGCTCTTTGAGCACTCCTACTGTGAATAGTGGATACATGCCCTAGTGCAAGCTCTTTGTTGGCACTGTTCTTAGACTCCTAAGGCAGCCAATAGCAATATGTGGAGAGTTAGCTTACCCTTGCTGACCCACTTTCAAATACCAAGTCTTTCTCTCATCCAGTAATATCCCACACAGATCATAAGCAAGTGCCAAAGGGAACTTACCAGTGTTGTATCCATGAGACCCATATCCACTTGGCTGTTGGAAAGGGGTAGCCGAGGCATTCACACTGACATTCACACCATGCTGCTTGGAAGAGGTAGGAGCCACCTGAAGAAACAGAATGAAACAGCATCAGACAGCATCTGTCTCACTTGTTCTACTCCAAAGACATTTATTTAGGCAGATTGCCATTCTAAGGTAGGCCTAGCCACAGACTGAAGAGTGAAACGGGATCATGACTGACTGTGGTTGAATGAGAAATGTCCTCCAAATGCTCCTGTACTTGAGTACTTACTTCCCCAGTTGCCACAGAACTTTAGAAGGTGGAGTCATACTGGAGAAAGAATAAGACTTGAGGGTCTGCAGCCCTATCCCACCTTCCTGTTCTCTCTACTTCCTACTCCTGGAACCCCACCATTATGGACTCTTCCCCTCAAACTGAAAGCCAAAAATTAACTATCATCTGTGAGCTGCTTTTATTCATGGTATTTTAAAGTAAAAGAAAAGTAACTAACATACTAATGTTTTCAGAACTGACCTGAGCAGTTGAGAGAAAGAGTGGTTTGTAGATTAAAAAAGAGACAATGGTAGCAGAGAAAGGAGGAAGCAGCATAGATATATCTGTAACAGTCCTTGTTTGATTAATTCTAAGGTCAGGTAATCCTTGTTCCAATTAAAATCTCATACTTTCTTTCCAGGCCAAAAATGGGCCAAAGGTACAAGTAGATCCTCATTTATTAATGAGTCATTTAGCCTTGAAAGCAGTAGGATAGTGTCCAGAATTGGGATCTGTCACAACAAGGAGACCATAGTCAGTCAGTTACTCACAGGGAATACAGCAGGCCCATACTGGAAGGTGCTGGGGAGGCCCGGGACCCCTGTGTAGTATGGCAGGCTGGTGTAACTGTAGCCAGGAGGCAGCGCCGGGTTCAGGAATGTCTGCTGCGTGGTGTGGTGAGTCTGCGTCTGGTTCTGTTGGGGTTGGGCCAAGGTTGTCGCTGGGGCTGGGGAGGAGGCATCCCCACGGCCAAACTTGGTGAGGTCACCTATGAAAAGAAGGGCTAGATGCATACTCTAATGTGTAAAGAGTCTCCCAAAATGAAACTTCCCAATGTTCCCCTGCCAACGTGTTTCCTTTAATTCCATCCCACTCTTCCTACACCTCAATTCTCCAAGGGCTTGAAGGACAATAGTTAAGAGAATACAATAATAAGTTATGCATAAACAAGAACCTAAAGACTAGCAAAGCAGTAAGATTGCCATTGTGCATAAGGTAAAGTGACACAGGGGAGTACAGCAGAACAGTTCAATCATACTTCCTGGGGAAGGTGGAGACTAGCCAAAACAAACAAACAAACAAACAAACAAACAAACAAACAAACCACACTTCTGCTAAAAACCTTAATTATGGAACCCTTTTTGCTAATTGAAGTTCTACCTCTAATTCCAACATATCTCCCTGTATTCAGCTCTATCCCAGTCCTACCAGAATAAGGGTTGCTGGCCAGGCTACCATCCCTCCCAGTAAGTGGAGTGGTGGGTGTGGGAAACGGGATACTGTAGTAATCCTAGAACAAAAATAAAAGAGCAGAGATTAAATTCCACACATTCCCCAGCATGAAAACAAGATGAAAGGAAGCAAGAGAAATGTTTGAGTACTGCGATTTACCTAGGTACTGATTAAACAGGTTAATGCTCACATGAACACCATTTAATCTTGCATATACTGCCCCCCCTGTCTGACCATGAATAGAGTCAGACAAGGTCTACGGATATGCTTATTGAAGTACACATCAATGTATAGAAGGACCAACAAGTTTTAATCTTATACAGATCCTCTAATTCCGGGGACAGGTTCTTCCTACTGAAGTGCTTAAGCTGAGTGTGGGGACAGAGAAATTGGCTTAGTAGATAAGAGTGCTTGTTACTTTGACTGCCAGCATCCACGTAAAAACCTATGGGTATGATCATGGGCATGCCTGTAACACTAGAATAGAGGTTATGTGGGTGAGTGGGAATGGAAAGCAGGATACATTCAATATCCTCCTATGTCACCTGCATGCACATATTTTCTTTAAAAGGTGGTGCATGGGAAGGGAAGCAGAGGCAGGTGTACCTTTAGAGTTTGAGACCAGCCTAGTCTACATAGTGAGTTCTAGGTCAGCCATGGCTATAGAACCCTGGCTACTAGACTGAATGCTGGGATTAAAGGCATGTGACAGCACATCCAGCCCTCTTATCTAAAAACATCAACAAAAGCTGCATGTGGTGGTGCTCCTCATAATTCCTGCATTTGAAGATTTGGGAGGCTGAAGCAGGACAATCACCAAGGCCAGACTGAACTACATAGTCTACACAAGTGAGATTCTGTCTCCACAAAAGATGGGTCTGTTGACACAGGCCTGAAATCTAACTACCTAGAGGCACAAGTCAAATCTCAGGTCTTCTTAAGTTCCAAAGGGAGTTCAACACCAGCCTAAGCTAATAGACTAAAGGCTCTGAAATACATTATTGCCAAAATAAGAGGCCTAGATCATTCCATTAGTTCCAATTACTCTTGTAAACTGTGCGGCTCAGACATTAAAAGCTTAAAGTACACCATTCTAAGGATTCTGGGAAACTTCTTAGTAAAGAAGATAAAAAGAGGTGAAACAAAGAAAACAGATTCTAGAGAAGAAAAGAGAAGGAAGGAAGGAAGCCAGCCAGCCAGGCAGGAAGGCATCGAGCCAGCCAAGGAAGTTGAGTGTGGTGGTAATTATCTTTGATTCCAGTACTCTGTATACACCGCTAGGATTATATAGAAAAACCCTGACTCAAAATACAAAACAGTCAGGAGTAGTGATACATGAGAATAGACCTAAATACTTAGGAAATTTAGGCAGGAGAATACAAGGTCCAGTAGTTTGGGGCGAGCCTGAAAAAACATGGCAAGATATGCCCCCATTATTAAAATGAAAGAGTAGGAATATAGTTAGCAGTACAGTACCTGCCTAGCATGGATAAAGTCTAGTGTTAATCCTAAGGGTCTCACACAGTTTAAAAATATAAGGCAGAACAGGAAATTA